ATTTGGTATTTATTCACGGTGTACTTTTACACAGATATGTAGTCTGGAGAGGAGTAGGTCCATCCTTGGAAGCTAATCAATTCCATCAGCCTCGAGTGAGCTACTCAAACCGTGACAATTACCCTCGATGCGAACAATGGTAATTAATGATACTTAACACCTTAATAGCGTAATATGCATATGGTTATTTAGGAGGTCGCTCATAATCGCATAAAGAAAGACCAGATAATATAGTAGGCCTAGCAAATGTATTGGTTTGCGGTAAAGTGGCCCCTTCACTCCCTTTAGTTAAATGTTTACGCTGCAGATAGCCATTCAAAAGAAAAAGTTATCGGCAATTACTTTGCCCCGGGAGGGGGGAAGGAATGCGACCTTTCGCTTCCTGGACATTTGTGCTACACCATTAGGAGAATGTTTCACCTTACAGCTCTCAATTCTATGTTTGACATAGTTTATCGCCGCTCACTGTGTTACGTGATGATCTACGAAAAAATGGAGTCATATTTCACTGTTTTCACCTTTCAATATTTGCTTGATTTGCATGCCTCTTCTAATATAATTTGTTAATGTATTTCATGTGCTCTATTTGAACTTCCACAAGGTCCTTTTCAAAGACAGGTGGCTGAGAAAACGGTAGCGGGTAGCTGCCTAGAAGATTTCATGAAGAAATGAAGGCCAAAAGCTACGAATTTTCTAGGCGTTCCCCTTCTATTCACAACAGTAGTAGCACAATCACCTCTTATCAAAGCTGACAATCTTGATAGCGGTCCCAGCCACAGAGACTTGCCCACTTGATGAGTGCCATGTTCCCACGACCTCATTGTTATCACTTACGCCAATTAATATTTGCTTCAGCTGAGGCGCCGCGTATTTACAATACCCAAACATGTACAGACTGACGTGGGTCGTTTACGATCACAAAGAAATCATTGCCGTGATAGAGAGCGGCAGTGGGTCTCGAGTAAGTCAAAGAAACACCTACCCAGGTCTGCAATCATCATCGTTGATGTGGCAGTCACGTCCGCTGAATCCTCTCTTGCATACGCATTCGTAGCGATTGATTCCGTCTACACAGGTTGCACCATTCAGGCAGGGATTGTCAGCACAATCATCTGCAAAGAAACGATCAGACTCAGAACGTCATGAAACTTTGTATGGTTATAACTGACCAATATCGACACCGCAGGTTCGCCGCCCCGTGTATCCAGGCTGACAGACGCAACGAAAGTTGGCCAGATCATCAATAGCCATGTGCCGTTATTTAGGCATGGATCTAAAAATTGTATTTAGTTGGTGATTTTGCGCCAGATAACGCGACGGAAGGTCGGGCATAGAAGGCGGTCTGGCTTAACGATGATATAGGAAGCATTTATGCAATTTTCGCAAAGTATGCTAAGGCCTCGGCAGCGATCGAACCAGCGACTCTCGAAATTGCACACATAAGCCTACACTTTCAACCACTCGACCATCCATGCTTA